TTAAACGATAAAGAAAGTATATATAATAATAAGAAAAAAGAACATTTAATTTGTACATGAATTGTTGAATTTCGTACGAAAAATACGAAAATGACATGATAGAAAGTTTAATTTTATTATCAGTTTAAAGACTGTACAAGGTTTCCCAGAATTCGCGACTTAAAGTACTAATATGATGGTTCTAACAAAATTAAGTAAAAAATTATATATAAATTTTTATTCTAGGTAATTTTTTTTAGATAAATCTCTCTAAATCTGAATCAGTGGATAATCACTGATATCAGTGCCAAGTATACAACTGGTAATTAGTGAATAAAATGTGAGATCCCTAATCTAGCTAATTTTTATTGTGTCATCTAACTAACCTTGTTTTAGTGCTTAAATTCAATGAATATGGTATTGGAAGATTGAAATTAACATGCAAATATCAATATTTTAATTATATGATGCTCAAACATTCTTCCTTTTTTAGTTGAACTTCACTCATTATCAATGCAAAGTATGCTACTGGGTAATTAGTTATTACGATCCACTCATTCAGATTTAGAGAGTAATAAAAGTTTAAATATGACAGTTAAGACTACGTTTAGAAAAGTTAGATTCTTACCTGTCCATGAGTCGCGCGTGCGATAGATTAATGAGCACTAGTGCACTTCAGAACGCGAACTTTTCAGCGCATTTACTGATACTCACAAGTAACCTTATCTAAACGTAATCTGTAATTGACCATATTTAAACTCTTATATCTCAAAAATTGTTACTTATAGCGTTTTTCATTGGTAGAACTAGTGCGCACGCAGTGCACATTAAAACTGTTGTACACTATTCTAAATGTAAAGTGAGATATCTCAATTGATAAAATGCCCAATGTGTATTTTATCGCATTATTAAATAGCATAATAAAATGTATTGAATATAATATTTCGCGGCTTAATTCTCATTTCTATATTTTTATTAAACGTATACATATTTATATCGATTTGTGTACAACGCCTTTAAAGTGCACTAAATGCATACTAGTGATTCTGCCAATGAAAAAAGCGCTATTAAAAATACTTAATTTTTTTTAAACTGTTACCATAATATTTTCAGTCGCAAATTTTGGGACAGCCTACATAACTTAAAAAATTTCATTACTATACATGTGTATATTCACATGTGCTATGAATAGTGAGGAATAGAACCGATTTACCTTACCTATTTGTTCTTAAGGTCATTTTTCTTTAAAATCATAGCGAATTGAATGAATTTGTTTTCTTTGTTGTGGATTAGGACATTTTTTGAATTTCAAGATTGTGATGTATAAATTTTTACAGACAAAAAAGTAAATATTTTTTTTATTTAAATTTTAGATATTGCTTCGCGAATTATTGCTTTCGTAAGATGAATTAATCCATATGTGTAAGTGTCACGTGCTAAAAAAAAATGAATTTTTATTATCTGCCTTTTGATGAAACAGTGAATAAATTATGTTGACGAAGAAGCAATTCGTTGAGGATATGCTTTATATTGTAATAATATTCTTTTGACGTTATCTAACGTTTCAATGACGTTTTATAACTGATTCTTAAAATTGTCTGGTAACACTTAATAACGGCAATCATAATGCGAATAATGTGAAATAAAATATTCAATGAGTAACAACGTAATTGCTACGGCTGAGAAAATCAATAATGGGTCGTAAATTCAACAGATATATAGACCTGGGGCTGGCATGTTTTACCACTTATCTGACCATTATGGCGGTGTCGATCTCTTCGGTTATACC